CTGATAGCTATGGGTGGGGGTGCACCGAGAAACGCAAGCCTCAGATGCACGGGTCAGGAGTGGAGCCCCAGATCTTCCTTGAGCTGCCTGGGACCTTAGGTGCTGGGAATGATGACTGGTACTTCAGCTGCAGGAAGGCCACCACAGTGATGGGTACACTGAGACTAAACCCACAGTCTCTATCTTTCCTAAGCACTCACACATCGTCTTGACTTGGGCCTTCCCTCCTTGCATACTGGAGAGGGTAGAACCCTACTTTCAAAATCTGCTAGACTCAAATTCTCTACTCTGAGATTCTTCCAACTTGAAGTTTATAATCAAACATTTATGACATCTACCCTAAAACAAATTCCCTCCCTTATCTAACTTGGGGCCAGGGAGGGCTGTGAGAACATCGCATTTTTACATCTCAGAAACCTTGAGTGCTTGAATCTTGGACTGCTCTTTGCAGAGATCTTTACAGCTAAATGATTAATTATACCCAAGATAGTCCAAAGCAATTATTTAATTATGCTGTATTGTGGGCTGCCAACTGTGTGGAGCAAAGGGGCGGCCTTCACCCCTGTTTCTCAACATCTGGCCCTTTGGATGACTTAAAAGATAAAAGGAGATATGAGAACATTTTTATGACCAAGTAACAATTTCTAGAACTTTCCAGTAAGTAGAAAAAAAACACCTTTCAGCGATTGGCTTCTCTCGTGGTGAGAGCATGATGCCATGTTTCACTCTGTGTCCCCAGCAGACTGGGTGGGTAAGAGTTGCAGAAAACAGCTGATAACATATGGTATAGTGCAAAGGAGCTGTATTTGCCTTTTAATCATCTTTCTTTCTACTTTGTCTTTCTTGTTTGCTTTGTTTTTTAAGGTTTTTTTTTTCCCCATTAATTTGGGCTTCCTAAAATCAAGAGTAATGAGCAAAAATTCCAGTCACCCATTACATACTTAGAAATGTTAGCTTTATTTCAAGAAGCAGTTCAATGTAAGAGATGCAGGCTGCCCCTCATAGTTGTAGCCCAGAGGTGTGCCCGGGTCATAGATCTAGACACGTTCATGGATACTGTCTTGCGGGGAGGTGGGGGAGGGACAGCTATCTGGAGCTATCTTTTTATCTGCCATGACATACTGATTCTTCCTAAATCCTCCACAGCGCTCTCTGGTTTCTAACAGCTCCATGCCTGGGTGCTGTCCTCTTTCTTAGAGGATGACCATCCTTGCAGTGATCTGTGCCTCCCACTGCCTGTGACACCTCAACAAAGTTGGTAAAAGAAGCGCCATTCCGTCTTGAGTTAGTCACTGTATTTAAGGTTCAACCCAAAGAGATACCTAATCCCTCAGCCCGCTTCCCTCCATAGCATTTGAGTATGGAAGGTGACCAGCAAGAATAGCTATGGTCTGGAGAGAGCTCTCAGTTCCTAAAGGGCTAGCTTTGCAGGTGTGAGAACCTGAGCTCGGTCTCCAAACCCATGTAAAAGACACCTGTAGCTGTGTGAGCCCATGGTCCCAGTGCTGGGGAGGAGGGGACAGAAAGATCCCTGGGGCTTTCTGGACAGCCAGTCCAACCAAACCGGCAAAGTCCGGAGCCATTGAGAGGCCTTGTCCCAAAAACGTTAGGTAGACTCGAAGAAAACAGTTGATGTCATTTAATCCCAGCCTGGATTAATATTTGCCTGGCTGGGGTGTCTAACGGTAACAGCGAGACAGTGAAGTCACCCACGACCGAGTTAGAGTTACTCTGTGACTTTAGGTCCAGAAGGACTTTTTTTATGAAATGGCCTGAGCCTGCATTTGGAACACACATATTTAGAGTTATGTTTTCTTTTGATGAACAGTTCTCTTGGTCAGTGTGAAGTGACATTATCTCCTCTGACGAGAACTGGCCTCAGTCTTTCTTGTCAGATATTACGATAACAACGCTGGCTTCTCCTTGCTCCATTTGCTTGGGATACTTATTTTTTTTTTTACTCTTTCTCTCTGAGGTGATGTTTATTTTGGGGCAGAAGGCACATTTTAGAGGCAGCAAAATAAGAATTCTGCTCCCTAATCTGGTCCTCGAGTCTGGCACTCTTGATGGGATAACTGAGATTATCCACAGACAGAGTTATCACTGACAGGCACGTGTGTGCCCCCATCATTCTTGTTGATTGTATGGCGTCTGAGGATGTCTTAGTACTCTTTGGTTTAATTTCTCTTTAGTATCATTTATATTTTGCTCCTCTAGCCTCTTGAATGTGTTTATCTTTCTCTTCAGTCCCAAGGGTTCCCTGCAGTGTTCTCCATAGGAGTGGTTCCTTTAGCCTGCCTTTATCACCTTCAGTTACAGAGATAGTTCTGCAGGTTACAGTCAGCTGGGTTGGCAATTGCGATCATTCAGATTTTGAAATACCTCACACTGAGCCTTCTGTGCATGTAAGGTTTTGATTGAAAAGCCAGTAATTGTTCTGACGGTCTTGTCTTTCCTGCTGGCCGGGTCCTTCTCCTTGGAAGCTTTCCGTGTACTTCCCTTGTTCTTCACATTCTTAAAGTGTGATTTGACACAGGAAGCCCCTTCTCCAGTCTTGTCTGTTTGGTGTTCCGTGTCCCTCTTGAATCTGGGTCGGCTTCTCTCTCCCTAGATTTGAAGACATTTTTTCTCCCATGGTTATTTTCTTCTGTGAAATAGCTTCATCTTTGGCTTGAAAGTCTTCTCCTCCTTCCGTGTCCATGATTTGTAATATTTATCACTTTGTGGTGTGTCCCCAAGTTTTTGCATGTTCCATTCATGTATTTTTTTAAAAATCTGTCCCTGGCCCTAATGGACTGACCCGCTTGCTCTGTCTTGTCTTCCAGCCCCTTGCATCCCATCATGGGCTATTCTGGTGGTGAAGTTTACACTGAACTTTCATTGGCTCCATTGTGTTTTTCATTTCAGTTGAGTTTCCCTCAGTGTCTCTTTCCTTTCTGTTTCCATATCGTGAATTGTCTTCCTTATCTGGTCAGCTGTTTGTTTGTGCTCTCTTGGAAAATATTTGTGCCCTTCCCAAATTGTTTGAACATCTTTATAATCATTCCTTTGAATTCTGTGACTAGCATTTTGTGTGAGTTCCTTTCATGAGGAGCCACGACTTTAGATTTGCTGATTTGGGAGAAGACACACAGTCCTGGTATTTCATGTTCCTTCTGTCTTTGCATTTGGATCTGCCCATGTGAGGTTAGATAGTTAGTTAAGGTTTTTGATTCTTTTCAGGTCACCTCTCTTCTTTCAGTGGAAGGGCTTTATAGTATATAGTATAGTGTATAGCATAGAGTATAGTATAGTATAGTATAGTATAGTATAGTATAGTATAGTATAGTTCAGAAGCGTTGGGTTGTAGTAGAGTCATGATGGCGAGCTTCCCCTCCATCGGACTGGTGTTACAAACCCCAGGATCTATCTCCAGCCCATCGCTGTGGCCTGATGCTGACTGCAGGAACCATCACTGTTGGGGCGGGGGGGAACTGAAGCTGTGGGGAGAGGGCTGAGAGCTCAATGGAGATAGAAGAGAACGCAGCCAGTGGCCTGGATGTTGGGGGTTTCCCTTGCACAGCAGGCCCCCTGCATTGCCTGCCTTGTTCTGCTCTGAGCTATCTTCTGTTCTTCTCCTGTGAGTTCCTAGCTCCACCTCTGTGTGGAGTTTTCTTAATGAGCTGCTTGGCTCTGTTCTTTGAACTGGGGCTAGCTGAGGTGACTTCCATCCAGCTGCCTTCTTGCTTGATTTGCAGGGCCTCAGCAGGCGTGGCTCTGCAGGGCCCAAAGCAGTGGTTAGAGCTTGCACTTGGCTCCCACTGCCTCACTGTTCCTACTGGGACATTAATGGGGTTCTAGTGGCAATCTCTGGAGACCCAGTCAATAAAATCTCTATTAACACAGCTTTTATGGGTTTTCTGGAGAAGGCCCGTTCGCCTGGCTTGCGTCAACTGCTGGAGTTTGCTGGAATCTGCATCTGTGGCCGCAGCAAGTCCGGGTTCAATAGCATAGGAAGTTTGTTAGAGCTTTGACCAAATGGATCCTGGGGGCTGATAGGGGAGTGATGAGGTACCCCCATTCTCTTTGCTTCCCTGACTATAATCAATTGTCCGCTCTGGCTTCTAAACTACACTGTCTTACCCAGAGTTGCTCTGTCCACGTATTTTAAAACTCTATGCCTAACTGTTGACTCACAGGGTTCCGTTTGGTCATTGTCATTCCCAGAAGGGTGTGTATCTTACAGATGCTGCATTGACTACCAGGGAGCCCCCGAGGGCCAGCATTCCTGTGAGCAGGATCCATTCATAGGGTATAAGATTCACCTCAAACTGTCAGTCTTTGAAATAACCCACAAGCAGCAGTCTGATGTGTGGATCTGTCCTCATCCGAGGGAGAGAGATGCCACCATGTAAACAGTAACTTGGCCGTCAGTGAAGCAGTCATGAGAGGAAGTTACTGTTTTCCACACGGTGCTTGGTGAAGAAACCAAGTTCCTGACACTCAGGAGCCTAAACAAGCTTCCATAGCTAGGAAGTGGCAGAGCTGTGGCTCGAACCCGGAGCTGCTGGGCCCAGATAGCCCTGGCCCAGCCACAGGACAGGGCGGCTCTCACAGGGTTCCTCAAGTCTATAATGGGCTCTTCAGTTTATGTGCAAGCAAGAAGATTGGTGTAAAGATCCCCAAACCCCAAGTAAATGCACAATGGACATAACAGCTGTAATTCTAGCCTTGCAAAGTGTACAGATGTGATGGCTTGAGCAAGCTGTCTAGTCTGACTGGTCATTAGTGACCTCTGAGATGGATTGAGAGACCCTGCCTCAAAGAATACAGGGCAAAGTGACCCAAGAGTTCTAAAATCAACCTTTGGTCTCCATGTGAGTGCGCGTGCACACGCGCAAACACACACACCCCAATACAGACATAAGTAAAAGTAAAAATAAATCGTTTTTAAATATCTATCCTCATCATAAATAAGGAACTCTCCTTAAAATGAATGTTTGTAATTCCCTTTTCGACAGGGGGCTTATCGTGTTTGAAAATAAGACCTACATCTTAGAGCCGATGAAGAACACCACGGACAGCTACAAACTCGTCCCAGCTGAGAACATGGAGAACATCCAGGGCTTGTGTGGGTCACATCATAACCATTCCAGCCTCACCATGGAAGCTGTCTCCCCTGAACCCTCTCAAATGTGGTCAAGAAGGGTAAGAGGGAATCTCAAGTTCATGCTTCTGGAGCGGAGGGCTGAAGGAAAGGGACACGCAGGCCTAGAAGGTCTGGAGCAGCCTTGCTGCTGGATGCAGTGTGGATGGAAAGACCCACATCCCTCAGGAGGCAGGGGATGTCCTGGGAAGACCAGGAAGTCCTGGTCACAAACTCAAACCCCTGCCTCTTCCCTGCAGGTGTGAGCATCAGATTCGCTAGCATGTGATGAGTGAAATCTCATCATCCGGGTCAGGAGGTTGCCAAGGTCACCACGAGCATAGAGAGCAGGGTGACCAGCAAAACAAGCATGGCTCCCCGCCCCTTCTCGTTCTCCATGTTGAGGTTTCCTCGCCCATGGTCTATTCCACGGTTTGGAATCTGAGAACTGGTTATAGAAAATGAATCACCTTTACCCACCTGCTTATGCAGAGAGCCTCTGAGCCTTCCCCAGCGGTTTTCCTGAAGTCTTGTTTATCCGTAGGCCATGCTGCCGGTGTTTGTCTTGCCCTCCAGGGCCGTGCAGCAGCCTGCCTTTTCCAGCCTCCTGCCATGACTCTTTTTGCTGCAGCACCGGAGTTGTCTACAGAGTCTAACTACAAGCTGACTCCCTTCACCAGCATTTCCCATCATACCCTGGAACGACTCTATCCTATGGTACCTGCTCATGGTCATTCACATGGGCCATACAGACCACAGTGGGGCTTCGTTGGCCCGAAGCAAAGGGTCTTTTCCACTGCTAGGTTATAACCAGAGATGAAAGTATTAACCTTTTCCTGGTTCTTTTGTTTGTTTTGTTTTGTTTTGTTTGGGGGTGGGGAAGAGTATGTGTGTGTTTTCTATTCTTCACTTGCGAATAAGTATTTAAATATCAAACGTATGGTGCCCCCTTTGCTAACATTTTACTGGCAAGGACAGCAAGAGTGACATGTTCTTCATATCCCTCAACACATTTTATCTTTCCAAGCTTTAGCTAACAGTCACCTAACTTTGAGCTAACAATATACCTATCAACATTCCATGAAGATGATTCTTGGTGTATTCTAACCCATCCATCTATCTATCTATCTATCTATCCTTCCTTCCTTCCTTCCTTCCTTCCTTCCTTCCTTCCTTCCTTCCTTCCTTCCTTCCTGCTTTCCAGCACTACTCGGGCCTCATGCATGCTAGGCCAAGTGTTCTACCACTGACCTACCCCCTACCCCTCTAAATCCTCCAAGTTTAAACAACAAGAGTTCTATTCCATTCATTTGCCCGTCCCTAGCATTCTCTTTATACCTGGCCAGACTCTGTTTAAACTGTTCTCAGCCACCCAGTTCTGGACTTTGCCCAGTCCAGCCAGATTCTCTGTCATGAGATCTAACCCCCTTTCCCCTTTAATGATGCCCAAACTGGCCCATGTAAAATGCCCGAAACATTAGTTTTTCTGCCTCCTCACAGAAAGAATTCTGTTTACTTGCTGTTGTTCACCTTGGCATTGATGCTTAAGGAATGAGGATGGAAGTCTATCTGGATTCCATGATCTTAAAACTACCCAAAAATTGCAGGGGTGGTGGTGCACCCCTGAAATCCTAGCACTGGAGGGTTGGAGGTAGGGATGAAGAGTTCAAGGGCATTCTCAATACATAGCCAGTTCAGGGCATCCTATTTCAAAATAACAAAATGAGGCCAGGAAAATAGCTCAGTCAGCAATGTGTATGCACGTATACCTGAGTGTGAGCCCCAGAACTTATACTAATACATTTTTTAAAAGCCAGACATGCTGATGCTATTTTGTAATCCCAGCTCTGGGAAGGTGGAGACAGGAGGATCTCTGGGGCTCCCTGGCCAGCCAGTCTAGACTTCTTGGCAAGTTCAGTGAACATTTCTGTCTCAATCAAAGCAAAACAAACAAAAACAAAACTAACCAACCAATAGCAACAAACCTATGAATGATGTCCTGAGGAAGAATACTTGAAGCTTCCTTCTGTCCTCCACATACCTGAATATATGAGCACATGAACCTACACACGCACACAAACATGCACATGAAAGGGAGTATTGGGGGTAGACAGACAGAGGAGAGACAGAGAGAGGGGGAGGGAGAAGAGAGCGGGGAGGAAGGGAGAAGAAGGGAGAGGAGAGGACAGGAGAGGAGAAGGGAGAAAGAGAAAGAGGGAGGGAGGAAGAGAGANTGGTGACAGGCAGCCTTACACTCCACTGTTGTCGGTAGATTTGGTGAGACAACTTGGAATTCTTAAAAGAGGGAATAGATTAAAAAAAGAGAGAGACCAGGACAGGCTCCAAAACCACAGAGAAACCCTGTCTCGAAAAACCAAAAACGAGAGAGAGAGAGAGAGAGAGAGAGAGAGAGAGAGAGAGAGAGAGAGAGAGAGAGAGAGAGAGAGAGAGAGAGAGAGAGAGAGAAATATCCCTAGCAGCAGCAATAGCATCTCAGCTCTGGAAGGGTCCCTCTTGCATTCCCCCTGCCCCACCTCTCTTGAGTGACAGACTCAAGAGCTGGCATCAGAGACAGCCTCTCTAGTCCCTCTCGTGTTTATTTCACTCTTCAAACATGCCTGCTTTTGAGTCCAGACCCCAGCTAGGATGTGACTGAGCCAAGCCTCACCCATCATAAACAAGTAGAACATTTGCATTTTGTTTTCCAGGCTCTTGGCTTTGAGTACCTGGTTGAATGCCTGTTAGCCACATTGCATGATTTATAACTTGACAGTTTAAATGATGCTCACATGTGCTCCCCTTCCATTTAGAAGTACAAACTTGCTCTGTGCTTGCTGACCGTATTTTAATTCTCTGAGCATACACAGCTCCCTGGAACCATGATTGGCACCATCATCTCCCGTCCCATTGACATGGAGAGAAATGAGAAAGCCTGCTAATTTGGGAACATAAGTGAACCTTTAAATGGAAGGGGAAGGTATGGATGCCAGGGTTGTTCACTCCGGCTCTCACTCTTGCTCGGACATTTCCTGAGATGGTCTCCCACAAGAACTTACCCTAAACTGTGAGCAGATAATAAAGACAGTACAAAAAAATAATAATTTTCCAATAAGCAGAATACTTGTGAGTTGCAGGCACCTAGAAGATCATTTTGGAGGGCGCTGTGGTGAATGGGCAGAGCAGAGATTCACGTTGTATGCCCATCCCTTGCCTCACTATGCTGCCTTTTATTCTATACTTTAAAAAAATCAATATAACTGCAGCTAATTAATCTTGTTTATGCAGTGCACCAAGCACCGTTGCTCTTCTCCAGCATCTTCCCAACCTGCCCCCCCCAATGTTAACTATCTCGGTTTCTCTGCAGATGGTTGCATTTTTCTGCAGGGAGCACCAGGAATCCGTCTGATCTAGGCAGTCACGCTGGCTATCATATAAAGCTGAGCTGTTAGTCACTTTTACAAGGCTCTATGTTAGATTATAGTGAGAGCCCCATTTGCTTCTGGAAGGCAGAGGTGTCGTGGGTTTCTCTCTGGGAATTTTTAAGTCCAGCCTAACGTATCTTGGTACTGGGCCCACCTGCCTGGACTCCTTCCCTCCCCGTTGCTATGCTTGCACAAATAGAAACAGAAAGCTTGAGAGGTAGCTCTGTTTGCAAGGTGCCCGCTGCCCACACATGTGGCTTTAAGGGCTAACCCTGGCATCAGATGAGCTGGATATGGTGGTGCGTGCTTGTGGTCCTAGCACTCTAGACATGGAGGCAGGGAGATCAGGAGTACAAGGTCGCCCTCAGGTCCATAGTAAGTTAGAGGCCAGCTAGGCTCCACGAGACCACATCTCAAAGCAAGCAAACAAAAAGAATAGCAAAGGATTTTAGTAGCCACCTTAGTAAGTTTTGTGAGAGAGACAAAGGCTAAATCTGCTAAGAAGAAACTCAAACCATGCATCCCAATAGCAGAGAAACAAATTGCTTCAGGAAGGCAGTGAGTGGCCTTGGTCTTCTCCATCCCTATATCTCCAGTACCTAACCCGCCATGTAACACACAGCAAGCTCCCAGAAGACACTGGGAGATAAGCAAATGTCTGCCGATGGTCTGGCCATCAGAAGACAGGATTGCTGTGGAAACACATGGGTACCCTGGTCTTCCCTTGCTTTCTTAGACTGAATTAAGCTCTCCGTGCCAGGCATTACAGCAGACTCTTCAGAGGGTACTTTCAGAGGTCTCGGAACTAGTTCCTCTTGGGTACCTTGTCTCTAGCCCAGTCCCCACCTTGGAGCTGAAACTCAGAGACTCGGGTTCCTGCCTGGGAACAAGCTTTTGCTCACAATCCTGCAGAATGAAAATCCAGTCACACAAGCACTTTCCAATGCTGCTGCCCATATCACAAATTTAAAATATATATTTTTAAAACTGGACAGCCTAGATAGGTAGAGATCACATGGAGGTAATTTAAGCCTCTCCTTCAGGGAGTCGGCCCCTCCCCTGTGGCTTTTCATTACGATGTGGTTAGACTTCTCTCTGAGCATGCAATTCTCTGAATTCATGAGAAAATGTGGATTCCTCTGAAAACTGCAGAGACAGGAAAATTGTGTTCGTGTGTTTGTTTTCATTATCTGGGATTGTGTGTTTTCTAAATGATGGTCCAAGGCCAGTTGGCCATCCTCTGCAGTCTGAAAAGTGCAAAAGCCCAAGCAACCAGCCCTTTTCCGATGGGTTTTTCATGAGAAATTAATTTATTTCTCTATTTCTACAACCTTGTTTTTGTCTGCATAATTAGCTGAATTTGTTCATGGTTGAACTGGGTATTGTAGGGGGGAGAGGAGAGGAGAGGAGAGGAGAGGAGAGGAGAGGAGAGGAGAGGAGAGGAGAGGAGAGGAGAGGAGAGGAGAGGAGAGGAGAGGAGAGGAGAGATTGATTCCTGGGAGCTGAAGAGATGGCTCAATCAGCGAAGTGCATTCTGTTCTGTTCAGCTCCCCCAGCACCCATGTTACAGAGCCAGGTGCAACAAGCAAGCACCTGCCACCCTAGCACTGGCAGAGGAGTGGGGGCTGCTGGGTCCCAGGGACTCCCTGGCAGACCGACCTAACTGAAACTCCCAGTTCACTGGGAGATCACGTCCCAGAAAATCAAGGTAGAGAGAGTTAGAGGAAGACACTTGTCGGCAACCTCCGACCTCCACCTGCATGCGTATACATGGATGTGCATGCACACACGTACCCCTTCAAGAGCACACATGCACATACATGTATACATCATGGGGAGGGGGGAAGAGAAAGGGTGAGGAGATTTCGATTTCTTTGGCGGAAAAAGCTTAAGGGGCTCTCGTTTCCAGAAGTGTCTCATTTTGAGCCCACGGTGGGGGGCGGGGGGGGGGGGCTGGCCTGAGCTCCCAGCTCAGGACCATGAAACCTGCCTGTACATACAGTTACCATGCCTGACAGTTTCTCCTTGCAGCGCCGTAAAAGCGTGAGAAATCATACCTTCCATGGTACTTTATTTTCCTTCCTCCATGAGGTTTCCAGATTTCTTCAGGGACACCTAAATCCATGAATCAGCACAGCTGGGCAGCAAGCGGGAACACCACGATAATACAAACATTTTTCTTGTAAAAATCTGTTAGGAAGATTCCGGCCTGGTGGAGATTTGTTTTATGAAAGATGTTTCCCTCCGGATTATGTGACTGGAAACCTGATTCAAAGCATGCCTGCATCCCTTTTGCTTTTGTCTGGACAAGCGGTTGTAACATTGAGTGTTCAGCTCAAGCCCTGTATGAGACTTAAGTCATAAACCAGCAATTTTGGTTGGGAGGACCAGACACGAGATCAACCCTTCTCTTCCCCCAACCGTGTGTTACTGCAGAAGCAGAAGGCTTTGCTTTTTTGTTTTCAATGTTTGATTTTGGAGACCACCCTCCACGAACTGGTTTATTTCCCCTAAAAAAATGCCTTTGGGATCCTCCCAGTAATTTACAGAAGAGTGAAAATGTTTTCGGAGGAAGCTCGATTAAAATGTAACCTGCCTCAGAGGTCATCTTGTTTGGATGCGTGTATCTCTACCGCTGAGTGTCCCTCTCCTGCACCCTGACAGCTTCCATATTCTTCTCAGCCATTCCACGCTTGCCAGTCCTAACCCTCACATGTCACAGTCTTAAAAATACTGCTTCTTCTTTCTCTCTCTGCTGCAAAAACCTTTGAGTTTGGTCTCGATTTACCTCCCCTTTGCCTCTCAGGCTTCCCCTGCTTCAGACTAGATGTTTAAATGATTGGCCACAAGCATCCACTCCCCAGAAAGAACTCGGCATTTTCCCAGGGAGATCGCAGATTTCTCTACAAAGTGTATTCTCCACCACTCTCCTAAGATTGTGGCGCAGATGTACCTGGGCCATCAAAGTACAAGAAACAGTGACAAGCTGGACTCCGGTGTGTCTTCAGCAAATTTCATATCCTTGTGGAGTCTGCAACAACACGCCTTTGGCTGGCTCTGGTTCTAGAATGTTCTTTGGAGTTGGTTAGGTGTTCGTTTTGCTTAAAAACGATCTTGACTTCTTTTGAACCCACAATCAATGATTCAGCGAGAATGTTAAACTCCTTTTTAGGATTTCCCACATGAAAGAGGAAACCGGATCACCCCAGTTGTGGCTTCACAAAGAGATCACTGGGGCTGGGAGTCAGTTTCTGGATGATGGTACACAGCCACAAAGCCCATGGGAGGAAGACTCTGTCCTCCAAATATCGTTGTTGTCTTGTCTGTTTTTATTTTTATTGTCTGGGAGACATGAGCGATGTGCTGGAAGCCCCAGGGAAGTATTAAGGCAAACTAAATGCTCGCTTTCTTTCGGCAGCCTAAAAGAGAGACCCTTAAAATGACCAAGTACGTGGAGCTGGTGATTGTGGCAGACAACCGAGAGGTAAGGGCCTGTGAAACTTCTCAGCACAATTGATTTCAAAAAGAAGCATGAGGAGGCACTTAGCCAGTTAGGACTCACTTTCCCTCCATGGTCAGTGTGTTCTTAAAAACCATGGGGACGAGCATCAAAATTGCACTTTTCCAAACTATTTAAAACTATTTAAAAAGCGCAAACTATTTAACATGTATCTAGTGTAATAAAATAATTGCAAAGTATACCCCCCAAAAATGCAGTGTTTCTCTGTGGCTAAGCTTGCTAACAAAGGGGAAATATCTAGGGAGAGTTATAGGTGACTTTCAATTACACTCTGACATTTTGGGGAAAAGTTAGATGTACCTTAACCTGAATGAATGAATGAATGAATGAATGAATGAATGAATGAATGAATGAATGCTGTACAGATGTGGTAGAGAACTCCTTCCTTCTTGTGAGATGCTTTGTACCGTTGATTTTTTTTTCTTCCATTTCATTTTGAATCAATTTTCCTCAGATTATCTTCCCTATGGTTTCTTACCATCCCATTAACGTAGTATAAATTGGTGGCATTTTTCTCCTAAACTCATTCACCATACATCAATGAAACCAGCTTGACAATTTCTCAGAAATCGCATCCCATTCTGGAAGGTCAGCTTAGAGGAGAGAATGGGGAATTTGTTAACTTTTTTTCCATTCTCCGTCTTGGACATGTTGTTATGAGCTTTTCTTGCTTCTCATATTTAATGTTTAAAAACAAATCTAAAGGAAATTTCTCAGGAAGTTAAAATCCAGCTGATGATGTGAAAAGTGGCCTTGGACAGCCTTCCCGTTGTCCATTTTCTCTTTGCCAAAACATGCCCCCGCCTCCATCATTTATGAGGCTGGAGGAGCTGCAAAAGTTAGCGCATGAAGTCTTTGGCTTGAGCACATGCATACACACGCATTGTAGGAATTACAGGGACTCCCCAGCTGGGAAACTGTCTGGCGTGATGTGAGCTCCTACACTGTAAATGTGGAGACCCCCATCCCTGCCAGAGTACAGGGTGTCACCAAAGCCTAGGACCTCACATTTCACATCTCAGGATTTGGGAAGAGGAATACTGATTGGTGTGTGTGTGTGTGTGTGTGTGTGTGTGTGTGTGTGTGTGTGTGTATGCATATATATAAGTATACTCTATGATTTATTTTTATTTTACTGCATTGGTGTTTTGCCTGCATGTCTGTGTGAGGGTGCCAGATCCCCTGGAACTGGAGCTACAGACAATTGTGAGCTCCCATATGGGTGCTGGGAATTGAACCCTGGTCCTCTGAAGAGCAGCCAGTGCTCTTTACTGCTGAGCCAACTCTCCGACCCCCTGACTGATATTCTTATCGTTATTAATGCTGGCATTTCAATTTGTTAAGTTTCAGAGGCAAGGAAAAGATCTGGAGAAAGTCAAGCAGCGGTTAATAGAAATCGCTAATCACGTTGACAAGGTAAGTCCCTTAACAAGTAATTAAAGTCCTCAAATTGTGTCAATGTTTGGAAACGAGGTTGGGAGAATTAAGTGATCTTCCTCTAATTGAGCAGAGACCAGAATCTATCTCTGCATCCTGTGCTGATGTCTGAGTGTCCGGTCCTCCAAGCAGGTGCTTTCCAGGACCTGGGCAACTTTTAGGAGACTCCAGCCCTAGCTGGTCTGGGACTATGGATGCCTTGGGGAGTCAGTTTCCTCTAGGAGCTAGTCTTGTCAGGAAAGGTTCTAGCCCACGAGAATTCTGAACAATACATCAGATAAAATCCCACAAGAGTGGGTGCACTGAGCCCTTGAGGATTTGGTAGCTGGGCCTCTTCTGGGTTCTTCAGTGTGAAGGTCACGATGAACCAATGTAGATAAGAGGGTGGACCCTGCAGGCTCCACCATCAGAACCCAGAAGCCGATGTCCAGCTCAGTCACCATTTTATTCTTCATCGGTGTGACAGATAGCTGCAAGAAAAACAGTGGAGGAGGGAACGTTTATTTTGCCCTGCGGCTTTGGGGGTTTCAGGCTGAGGTCTGCTGACTCCAAGGCTCTGGGCCATCATGGCAGAGAGGGTGTGGTGGAACAGGGTTTCTCAGCTCATGGTGGTCAGGGAGCAGAGAGGGGCAAGGAGAGGCCCCCAAGTGTATCTTTTCAGGATGCACCCCTGTCCTTCAACTAGGTCCTACCTCCCAGTGACAGCGCCCTAGTATCACTCCCGCCAGGCAGGAATCATTTGATTAGGTCAGAGTCTTCAGGATCCAATCACATCTCAATGATTAATGGGAATCATTTTAGAGACCGCTTCCTCTTGGAACAACTGCTGTCGGAAATCCCTCATTGAGAACAAGGGGGACTCCATCTTCACAAGACAATTTCTGAGGACAGAGGCCCTGGGAATCTGGTTCCTTCTACCACCTGCTGGCCAGGAAATGGGGGTTCTGCCTGACTACCGCACCTTTCTTCCGGTGGCACTCCTGCAGGACAGCATCTGGACCGTTAGGGGTTGATGGCTCTCATCCAGAACAGGGCTTCTCTCAGTGGCTTACACATCAGTACTGGGGGTGGGGCCTCCCAAAGATTCTCTGACTTCTTCTTTGCTGGTAGAGATGAGTGTTTTCCAGTGTCCTCTAGAGAGTTTCACATTCTGTGTGGCTGGCAGCTCCAAGGTCCCAATCCAGGGATTTACCTGGTACAGGGCTACATTGTAGATGCCACCAGTGGGGAGAAGGCTGAAGTGGAGACACAGCTGAGCATCTCAGTAGTCACACATCTGCCTATGACGGCCTAGTGGAGAGGCGGGCCTGGATGAAGCCGAGCCTCTCACAGCCAGGCTTCTCCGACATAGCCACCCTCTGCACACAGCCATTTGGAAGGGGCTCCTTGTTGCCTCTTTTATTTCCAGCAGTCCTGTTCTGTTCAGTTTGAATTTTCAACCTTTCCAGAAAGAGGAAGGCAAAAGTCTTTGCATAAATTCTTCTTCCTCCTCCAACTTCTTGCAGTCCACAGGGTCCTGAGTTCTGTGCATCTGTCAGAAGTAATCCCTCTGTTTGCTGTCACAGCCAACCCATAGCGGGTAGACATATAAAATCCCTTCATCTTGCACCCAAGTGACAGCCCTGCCATGATGCTGTGTGCAGAGGTCTCTGGAGTTACAGATGAGAGCTACTCACTTCCATGGGGGATAGGGACAAGGGTCATTGCAGTCGGGACAGTGATCTTGCAAGGTAGAGAGTGGGTTGAATGGGTACACTAAGTAGGGAAGGGCTTGGCCTGTTCCTGACCCTTATAAGACAGTGAGTGGCTCCTTGTGGTTACAGAGCATGGGAACATGCAGATGTATGCATGTGTTTGTACATGCACACATGCATGGTCATGCATGGTCATGCCCATGTGTACATGCATGATTGTGTTCGTGAGTAAACACGGCACACACAGCTAGGGTGGGAGCTGATAAATTGGGATTTGGATGGCTCAAGGCCCCGGTTCTTTCTACAGACCTCTCTTTATCAGACCCTTGAGGCTGACTGACCTCTGGAGCAACACATGGCTTTAAAATGTTTCAGCAGGGGGCTGGAGAGATGGCTCAGCGGTTAAGAGCGTTGCCTGCTCTTCCAAAGGTCCTGAGTTCAATTCCCAGCAACCACATGGTGGCTCACAACCATCTGTAATGAGGTCTGGTGCCCTCTTCTGGCCTTCAGGCATACACGCAGAAAGAATATTGTATACATAATAAATAAATAAATAAGTTTAAAAAAAAAAAGCTCTTTAAAAAAAATGTTTCAGCAGTAACTCCTCACACGTCACTGTGTATCCGAAAGTCAAGAGATGAAAGAGAATCCCGGTTAGGGGGCCAGTCCTTTGGGAAAGGAGGGCGAAGTGTGGATCCTGGGGAATATGTCAAGCAGAGCACACAAATTAAAGCCAAGTTCTCACTGTCCATGTGTGAAGCAAAGTCCCATCCCTGGCACCGCATAAACTGGGGGTGGTGAAGCTGGCCTATGATTCTAGTCCTTGGGAGGCAGAAGCAGGAGATCAGGAGTCCAAGGGCACCCTCATCTACACAGCAAGTTGGAGCCTAGCACCAGCTACCTGAGATCTGTCCAAAAAAGAAATGCAGGATCACAGTTGGGCTGGGGCGTTAGAATTTGGTTTGTTCATGGGACTACTCTTTCAAATACTGCTTCCTAAATCTCAGCCTTCCTAATCTGGTCTGAGGCAGAGCTTGGCACAGATCTGTACAGAGTTCTCCTTAAACCAGGAGACAGAAAGTGAAAGGTTTAGATAGTTCAGAGACCAAGCCATCACTCTAACCCTCTCTCCTCTGAAAGTCCTCCTGCCCCCCTAAGGAGTGAGAGAGTTCATCCGGGGCCTCAGAAGTCAAAGGAAATGATGGCTTACATTAACATCTGACTAGAAATGGCTGAAACCCCATTTTAAGTACATCTGGTCCTCTGCCTTTATCTCTCTTTACATATTAGTTTAGATTCTATCTTGCTTCAGTTCACAAAACTGAAAACGAGCAATTGGGGGTTTGTTAATGGCCTGTGCTGGCCATTAACAGTATGCGTCTAGAAGCCCTGGTGGGCTCAGTCAAGCGTGCCAGGCTGGACAGAGGAACGGCAGAGCCAATTCACTGAGAACACAGATATGTTTAGCCCTGGTATTCCTGCCCACCTCTCAACAGCTCCTAGAGACCCTGGAGAGAAAACTCAAGCTCCTTGGGCAACTCTGTAGCCGCCACAGCTGTTGGCCAATGGCTCTAGGCGACATCAGACTTCCCAGTTTCAGTTTTGTAACTATGCTCGTGGGAGAATCTCAGCCCAAAACTCATTGACTGTCCCAGTGGCTACTACCTCATTTGCTGACATCTTGGCTCGGTTGGGCATTCTAAGTTAATAACTATTTAGCTGTGTTGGCTTGGAGAAAGAGAAAACCCCAGAAGGAGAAGTGACTCAGAGACAAAGGTGAGGTTCTAAAAAGGGTCAGAAAAATCCCAGACGACAGGAACAGAATGTGTGTGTCTGATGGCTATGCGTCTAGAAAAAAAAAAAAACTATGAAGCATTGTTCCTGGGTCCTGGTTACTCTGCAGCAGGAGTAGCAAGGAGAGCATCCGGGGACTGAAGGTTTTACATCTTGAAGCCATCAACCATCAGTCCAACCCAACCTTCTTAAGCTGTGACTTCAGCTCCAAGCCTCAGTAGCCATCCTCTGAGGGACTCTGGATTTCTTCAGTCTTCTTCATTCCTGTGACCACCCTCTTCTCCTCCTCCTAAGCCAGTTGCCTGAAGAAGGCAAGCTCTCTTGGTACCCTAGGGAGTTCTACCTCCCTCATTTCTTATCCACTCCTTCAGGAAAGCTTTGGCCTGTCCAGCAAAGCATTCCCTGGACTTCCTGTTGATGCTATTGCTCAGCGGGATACCAGATCAGTTAACTGGATTCATGGTAGCATGTGCAGTGCCTACAGCCTGTGGTGACTCTGAACAGCGGAGGCAGGGCGAGGCCATCCTAATCTTTGTTTTCTCCGCTTGTGCCATGCTCTTGCCCACGGCAATTACTGGTAGCAAACATTTTTAGCTGTTGTGTAAACAGGAGAATCATTCATCTGTGCCTCTGACTATGTCTACATACGTTCTGGGATCTCTGAGCCAGGCAGACAGATGCCAAGCTCTCTTTGTCCTACATAGGCCCATGAGCTTTTCTCGAAGTCTGCAGTCAAGGTATTCACATGTGGGTGGCAGTATAAATTGTCCAGATCCTGACATCAGAGTCAGTCTGTCTGTGTGCCACTCAAACCACACAGTCATGATCTTGAATAATTTACCTGGCCCCTCCAAGCCTCGGTGTCTTGACTCTAAAATGGGGGCAATGACAATTCCTAGCATAGGATCCCTTTATGGAGTAAACCTGGGCTTAGGAAGCACCTTGGCATCAAGCCAGGGCTGTACCTATGCCCATTACACTTCACTGACAAGAACCCAGATGGCCTGTGGGCAAACCAAGAAGAACATTCCGAGGAGGTAGGGGAGGGACAGTGAATAATGGCTTGTGGTAGGCATAGCACACATGGAATCTAACCGGCAGTACCAACTTCAGAGAAGAGATGACATTCCACTAAGTCTGAAATCTGGGCTAGGGTGTGGTTCGGGAGGGTCTCACAGAGAAATGCAACCTCCCCATTGGTATGAAAGCCTCCCTGCTTGGTATGCTGCTGACTTAGCACTGAGAGAGATGGTAGGTTAGGCTGGGCAGACCTTGTTCCTGCTTCCACCCAGCGCTTCTGGGAGGCATTCAGTGTCCATCTCTCAGAGGGTAACCCTGAAGACCATGCAGGACATCTGGCCCTAAGGAAATCGCTTAGAAACTGGCATAGACATCAACACTGAATATGTGTTTTCTGATTACTGTGACCTTTGTATGTGACACAGTTTGGAATGTCATCTTGAGGGGTGCCCCTGGTATGAGCAGACATCATTCAGAATAATCACGGAACTGTCTTTTCTGGGCTGGAAGTTTGCATACAGGCACAAATCACATGCGGCTTGATTAAAACCATACCATTGGACAACATTTTGCTTATGTAATTGTCTCATTAATGTACTGATTCCGTATGGTCTTTGTTATCTATGTAACCCCAACTTGGACCACTGCAGTCCGTGTAACTTACTATGACATAATTTGTGCCCCAGCTGAATTCTGCAGTTTCTGCTGTTGACCCGGTGCTCACCATGTGACTCTGGGGACCAGTGAGGGAAAGGATGAGCTGCCTCATGTGGGGTTGAGAATCCCGGGTCAGAGGCTCAACATCAGAGCGCTCCTTACCCTTCGGCTCACCACGTTGAAAGGATGCTTAGCTCTCAGCCGCAGAGCTGCTGGGATTCCTGTTTCTTGCTGGTCAGATGTTTCTAGATACTTTGAGGATCTGCTTCCCTCTGGAGTTGGCTCCAAAGCCTTTCTCCCTGTGTATTCAGGGCCTTGGAAGGTGGGGACTTTCTTGTTGTGTGTGGACTTGTGTGTCACTGGCATCAAAAGATTAATAGGCACCAAGGGGACTCGTGTCTTTGCTTCCTTAGCTGTGACCACAGAGTCGCCTCCCTGTCCGTGTGCTGTCACATGGGTGATTTTTACAGAGCTCCTCCCAGCCTCCTCATCTTGACTATAAATGCGACCAATAGCAGTTGTTAGCTCTACAGTTGCTTTGTGTCCTGAACTATGGGCCTAGAAGAACCTTGGCATCAACCCTCGGGTGGACTGATGTAGCCACTCACACAGCCCTTCTAGAGGAGACAAGCCGTCCTTTGGTAAATAGAAGAGTTGCCTCCCCCTGCTCTCCTATGGACTGGGGGCTTTGGTACAGTCATTATTGCTTACACATAGGGATGGGGGAGAAGACTCACTATGAGTCGGCTCGAAGCTTCCTCACGCTCCCATGAGAAGAACTCTACATGGCAGATCTTCCCTTCTCACCAGCGCTGAGATAACTCCTTGGTGTGGTGAGAAAGATGTGCTCATAAAGTTACTGAAGAAGGTTTTGTCTATGCTTCTGTGTTTCCGAAAGGCACCAAACTTCCTAACATGGTAGGTGTCAGACTGCGAAGGTATCAGCCAAAGTTGAGTCTTGGCTGAGAAATTCGGATTCATCCTCAGTACCTCATAGGCCGAACACTGTATTCAAAGTGAGAACAACTCTTATCCTTGACTGAATGATCCTCATCGGGTCCTTGCTTCTTCCTTGCAGTAGATATTAACTGCCAGCATATTCAATGCTAACACACACCCACATTTAAGTCGGAGCAAGTCCCTTGAAAGGCACCCTCCCTCCCATGCACATCTGGGCAGATAGGAGGAATGACCGATGACTTCAGCATCAAAGTGGTCAGTGTTAGGGAGTCCCATTAACGTTTCACTGTGCATTGGGCACTAAGACTATTGCTGCCATGGTAACAGAGGTGCTCAGAGAGGGGTCTTCCTGGCTAACAGAAATGAACTTCAGTGAAATTGGCTCCAGTCTCCTTTCTGAGTTTCTGATGATGTGGTCCTCCAAGGATGCCCATTTTCCTAGTTTTACAGACCCCTGAACATCCGGATCGTGCTGGTAGGGGTGGAAGTGTGGAACGACATCGACAAATGCTCTATCAGCCAGGACCCATTCACCAGTCTCCACGAATTTCTGGACTGGAGGAAGATAAAGCTTCTACCTCGCAAATCTCACGACAACGCCCAGCTTATCAGGTGAGAGGTACTGTCTTCCTCTACTAAAGGCGCAGTACCGGCTGCATGTACTTTCTGTGGGTGCCTAGAGCCACATCTGTCTACACAGCATACTGGCTCCTCCAAGGGCTTCCTAGTCTGCATCAGGGGTCAAGCCTATATCCCCACCTATGGGCATCACAGACCCATTTGGGAAGTCTCCTGTCCCTCTACAAGACTTTCATTTCTGGTTCGGTTTGGTTTTCCATAACTGAACAATGTCCTCTGTGCTGATTTTTCTGGCCTTAGTCTTTTTTATTATTATTTTTGGTTTTATGAGGCGGGGTTTCTTTGTGTAGCTTTGGAGCCTATCCTGGAACTTGCTCTGTAGACCAGGCTGGCCTCAAACTCTGCCTCTCAAGTACTGGGATTAAAGGCATGTGCCACCACCACCCGGCAAAGACTGTTCTTGGTCTTAATAAGATTGCCTCAAAGAGTAATATATCGTTAATGGAGAAAAATCTGTGTTTTTACATGATCTGAGAGCAAGGCATATGTGTGAAGATTGTCAGGCACGTGGAGAAACACGAGGGCCTTCCTCCTCTGGGGGAGACGTTCTCTCTGGCCTTCCAGGTCAGGGAGTATCATCCAGGTCTTGTGTTCTTCCTCCAATCAGTATCCACATGGCACCTGCTAGGACCCAGCTAGGTGATTTGAACACAACAGTGGCCAGTAATAAATGTCTCTCTCTGCTGAGAGAGAGAACAGAAGAATAGAAAGCTCTAGAGTAACAGCTAGTAGGAGATGTGAAATGAAGCGGGGTGGGACGACTGTCCAGCTGCACATGGTGAGTGGCCCCAGACACCTTCGCATTTAAAAGGAAAGACTGTCCCTATATTAGCCTGAATCTGTAGGAAGCAGATACCTTGAGAAATGGCATGCTATTTTTCTTTTGTTCTTGTGCAACTTAAGTGGAGTTTTCACACACAGTGGTTTCTGTTCTTTGGTTAGTCCGATCTAGCTTGCTGACCAGTTGTGAGGAAGAGATGAGATGGTTTTGCTCTGTGTTCACTTTAGGAAATGCCTCCATCCACTCCCAACCAGTGTCCCCGCAATTGTTCATCCGGCAATTTCAGCGGCACCCCTGTGGATGTGTTTGGTTGCTTCCCATTTTATGCGCTGACCAATCCTGCTCTGTTAAAAGTCCATCTCATATACTTTGAGTTGGAAAGTTTTCTTTTCGTTTTGTTTTGTTTTTCTCTAAAGGAATCTGTCCAAGCTAAACATCTGGAAATAAATTAACATCTTCTTTGACCTGCTTATTTTCTTGGATGTACGGTTGTAACCATTCATATGGTCTGCATATACGAACAGCTGTAAATACAATGGCTGTGAGTTTGGGTGTGTAGCTGGCCCTTTACATCTGAGGGTTCCACACCTGTGGATCCAGGCAACCTTAAACCAGAAATGTTCCGAGAAAAGGTTATACTTTTATGAAGCATGTACAGACCTTTATCCCGGTCCTCCCTGAATAATTCAGTATAATGACTAACAGAGCATTTACATTGCATTAAGGACAAATAATCAAGAGATTAAATTATATGGCTCATAGGTTTTTTAGCAAGCACAATGCCATTTTATGCAAGAAATTGAGTATCTATGAGTTATAGTACTCTCGGAGGATTATAATCTAATCCCCATAGATAACAAGGAATGGCTCTAGTGCAATAGATAGAGAGATGATGGATAAAAGAAGAAAATAAAAAAGGAAACAGTAAACTAAAGAAAAAAGAAACAGAAACAGAAGGAACTGTAGGGATAGCCCAGCCCCCTTAGGGGGCGTGTTTGCCTCCGGCTAATGTTTACATATAAAAATGTCGAGCATGAGCCTGCTGCTCTCTTTTTTGTATCTCCTGCTCACCGCTGGATCTCTGGTGTTGTAAGCTATCCCCTCATTAAAATTTGCTGTTTCATATTAAGCTAGCCTGGTTATTACGACACCTACAAGGAACAATGGTATTTATACACTTGCTACTCTATCCAATTAGTCACTGTGAAAATATCTAACTGTAATTATTATTGTATCTCACATATGAGTGTTTGCCTGCATGTAAGTCTATGCACCATATGTGCCTGATGCCCACAGAGGCCAAAAGAGGAAGCTGGATCCCCTAGGACTGGAGTTACTGACAGTTGTGAGCTGTTATCTGGGTTCTGGGAATGGAATCCAGGTCCTTTGGAAGAGCAGCCGACTCTTAACCATTAAGTCATCTCTTCAGCCTCATATCTGACTTTTCAAACTCTAACTGCATTGTCTGTGTTGGTATACAGCCAACATAACACGACCAAGACACTTGATTATTACTTTATGGGAGTCCAACAAATACAGTGTTAAGGTTTTAATGCATGAACCTGGGATTAATACACTTGCCTGAAGCAGTCATTTGGTTTGATTAGATTCATGATCAGGTTGAGATTCAAGATAGGAGAACACCTACGTTGAAGCCACGAAGTTCCCTTCCAGAAACTTCCTCTCTGGTGCCAAGGCTTTGTGGGTGATTACTTGCTATCCACTGGCTCTAGAGGAGCGATCACTTTTCTGCCGATTTCAGTCTCCAAAGCCTTATTGGCAGAACACTTTGAAGGATTCCGTGTCTAACGATGATGAGTTACACAGGGAAGCAAACTCCGGCTCCACCAGAACATCTCCCAAGCTGTCTCCTGTTTCCTTTAGCACACAGTGATCCCTGGCGACTTCTCGGCCTTTCTATCAGCAGGCATTGTTTCAAAGGAACAGCTCCCTACAGCCCATCAGGACGCAGGCAGGCCGCAACTTACAAACACAAAGTCATGCCTGACCACTGTCTGAGTCTGGACAGCAGAACTCAACAAGAATTATGGGACCATCTTGCCACTGGGAAAGTAAAGTGTAATGCAAAAAGATAAAAGTCCCAAGTCAGGAAATACCCCTCCTGTGAACATTCAATGGCAGGCCCGCCTAGCAGCATTTGAAACGTTGGGGAACGCATCCCTAATGCATGGGATTAAAAAAGACTGTCCTTCCTTGCGTTTTTCAGTGGGGTTTACTTCCAAGGAACCACCATCGGCATGGCACCCATCATGAGCATGTGCACCGCAGAGCAGTCTGGGGGAGTCGTCATGGTAAGCCAACGAGGTCCCGGAAATGCCTTCCCTGATTAATCCCCCCAGGAAATCCCTACTCTTGTCGGACCTCTTGAAATTAGTTCTTGTCCTGTGACGCTGTCTTAATTTACCTCTGCTCTTACTCCGCCCATATTTATGATTTCTTTTCCCACACGTGGGGACACAGATGGTGCGCAGGGAAGGCAGGCGAAGGACAGTAGCTCCTTCAAGTGGGACTATTGGTCCAAGTATCTCAATCCAGGAATGTTTCCTGGCATCGGGATGAGTCGGGGCATGGGGGTTGCCCTTCATGCTCAGTTTTTTTGGGGTAGACTGTGGTCTCACCAAATGTTGCCGCTCTAGTGATTTTTTGATGGTTCTGCCTCCGTGCCCAGCAGTCAGAAGTTTGAGGTTTTTCACTACGTACCATTGCAAATGCTTTCCATACCTTCTGGCCAGAGTACAATTTGTCTTTATCATAACTTATTCTTGGAAGGCAGAGGCCTAGGTTTATTGCTTTACGGGGATAACTTTGTCATGTATGGGGCTATATGTGTTTGTAAAAGGAAATACAGCGAGAAGCATGTTTGAGATTTCTTATGAGTTTGATGGAAGGAACTTGGACTGTCTGCCCAATGAAAGGCTCCCTCCCACACTAGCCCCCCTGAAAGTTCTAGAAGGGATTCTCATACCAGATGGTCCCTTGATAATCTAGTGCTCACCATGGTACTGTCTCTCAGACAGGTAGTTTCCTCAGAGCCTTGCCCTTCCATCTCTATTAAACAAATACACTGTTGCCCTCCCAAGAAGCCTTGACTGTCTCCCCACCCTTCATATAGAGCTGTCTGTGAGCACTCAATTGTAGCAAAGGGTGGAAACGGTTACATTCTGCTGAGTGTTATTTTCTCTACATACTGCCTAATCTAATCTTCCTAGTGACGGTACATAAACATTTTTCCTCCCGTCTGGGAGCAGTGGTAGGTCATTTATGCAAGCGTGCACCGTGTGGGTAGCCTATGTGGAGGGCCTGCACCCACTCGCTGGATTGCTGGCTTGAACCATCCCCTCTCAGGTTTCTTTTGAACATGGAAGCCCTGCCGGTGATCTCCACCATGGAAGTCACTGGAAAGTTTGGGTTTTGCTGGTGCCAGGTTAATTTCGAGTCAGATCGCAGCTATGTTTTCCTAGAACAGACTGTAAAGTTTTAAGAGGGAGTAATTTTCAGTTTCATGGTTCCATGGTTAGTTGCTACTGACTTTGCCACTTAAAACTGGCACAAATACATTTAGGAGCCAAAATGGAATTCATAAGCAAAGTGGGTCCTGCCCTGCATGGGCCTCAAACATCCCGTGTCCCACATGACAGAGTAATAATATCCCTTGCAGTATTTCTATGGAAGCAAGTACTAAGATTCCCTCTTTACAATCATACAGAAAAACCATTCATCCTAAATAGGTGAAAGAAAGATGAGAAAAGATGCAGCTTGGGAGTCGTGCCGTGAGAATCAAGTCATGACCAAAGTTAGATCAAGGGGCCTGAAGAAATAACTAGGCAATAAAGAGTTCACCATGCAGCCCTTCCAGAGGACCTAGCTTTGGTTTCCAGGACTTGAGTCAGGCAGCTCCTGGCCACCTGTAACTCCAGCTCCAAAGGACCCAGTACCCTTTCCTGGGCTCCACGGCTACTATACTCACATGGACAAACCCACACACAGACACCGTCACGTACACACATAATTAAAAATAAATAATTTTTAAAAATTGTCTCCACCAGTTGGATGGCAGATAATATCCTCATTACACACGCCCTTTTTATCCTGCAGAGAAATATCAGATAGGGTGTGGATACCATCGTGCAGTCACTTTAACTTCTGTAGGCAACAGAATCCACATCCTGCCCAGACCTAAAACATCTACGCTAGCTTTCCATTGCCCCGCATCCTGAAGTTGGATTCATGCATATTAGCTGTGACCATCCCCATACCCAATGACCCCCAAATGTACAGAAAGTAAGTAGTTCACAGAAATAGAGGAACCCTTAGAGACCTAAAAATATGACTTCCAAGACCCTTTCTTCATTTTTTCAAGATACAGTCAACTGTTGCGTTTAGTAATCTAAAGTCACGTCTTTGTATCTAACTAACATAGACAGCAACGACAAAAAGCCCTCTTGATTTGGACATGCAAAAAGACACACAAAAAGATGTGTTCTTCCTCATTGTAAGCCGGTCTACAGGGATTACCAGTGATCCTTAAGATAGAGTCATATAATCACTTAAGCATGATGTAAAATAGCTTAAACAATTCGAAACAAAGCTGTAACGTTCCACAGAACAGAAAAACCAGCTGCTGAGTATGCCTGAGGAACGAGTTCTGAGAATTTTGTACCAACACGTGTGCTAACTAAGTCCTGCCCTCCACATGTTCCAGCAGCACCGTGCTCTCCACCAGGGCACACTGTTAAGGATTATTGCCTGATACGTGTCTACGACGCTTCCTACCACAGGAAACTGTGAGATAGAAATGAGGCAACCTATCAGGGATTTCATCTGGTCTAAGAACAGCTTGCTTCCTAGACACGTCTTTGTGTCTCAGACAACAGACCAGTGAGAAAGCCCTGCTCCTGGTAGTGCCACCAGTGAACACATCAGCACTCCCGGAGACACACCTTTACCCAGAGTCCCCATGAAGTCTAGAAATAAGAGTTTTTTCTAAAACACATTATCATACTCTCTTCTGGATATGTTTTTGGAAAACCTGTTATCGCTTTTCTGGGTAACGCAAACCAAACTTCAAGCAAGGTACTCATTTATCCAGGGGTCCGAACACCTTTTTCATGGCTCCATCCGCTGGCAGAATTTTGTAAATCACATCTACAAACTAATCAGACTTAGATTCAGTTAAGTAACTATATTTTTAGCTGTTTCTAAGTGTCTACTCGAGCCAAGCTCTCCAAGGGTTCCAGTAAGCTGGAGGCGGCCAGCAATGGTAGCCAAAGGTTAATGTGAACCTCGGCGGCTCCATCAGAGAAGGGGAACTTCTCTATGTCCAAGGTCAACTTAAAGGGCCAGCAAGAGTGAGACATAACTGAATTATAATCTTAGTTCAGTCAGCTTTCCAATGAATTATGTTACATGATCAACTATTATTGTGTGTTGTCAAAAACTTGCCCAGAATCTTCCCCTACCAGGCAGAAAGGAACAAAGAGGGTTGAGTCTAGCTGTTCAGGGATGATTTGAAAGCATCTTCCATTCAGCATCCTCTTGATGAGGTAGCCTTTTCTTTCCGTCATTAGGAATAACTTTTTGCCCCTCTCAATAGTGTTTATCAGAGGGGAGATCAGCAAAGAATCCTCACATATCCATGAGACAGGAGAACCCCCAAACGGGCTTAATGAAATTGGCCAACTTACTTCCCATGTTCAGAGTTGATAGCAAAGCTCTGTACTGGGCCTTAAGGGGAATTCAGCTAAACCAAGTGTTAATGATGGGAAAATGCCAAGGAACGAGAAAATGGGGGAGACAAGGCCAAGCAGATGTGAACTGTAAGTGTGCGCTCTTGTGTTTCCCTCGAGGACCATTCAGACAGCCCCCTTGGCGCTGCCGTGACCTTGGCACATGAGCTGGGCCACAATTTCGGAATGAACCATGACACCCTGGAGAGGGGCTGTAGCTGCAGAATGGCGGCAGACAAAGGAGGCTGCATCATGAACCCTTCCACCGGGTAAGTGCCAGGCTCCAGTGGCCCAGGACTGCCCGGTGCACAGCTTGAATTGTGTGCTGAGAAACATCTTAGAAAAAGAGGAAACGCGCCCCTTCCCCGCCCAGTTTTCTGACTAAAGAATCTATAGAAGTTTCTCGAAAGAAATTCCTGCGCAGGGAGCAAGAGTGTAGACTGTGTGTTCTGGCGAGTCATGGGCAGCCAGCTTCAATGCCACATAGCACAAGGGCTGGCCTCTTCCCTGGGATGCGGTGGGGATGGATGCTATTATTTAGAAATCACAAATTATCCTACAATCTCAGCACATGTTTCTGATTTGAGCATTCGGTTTCAGCCGACATCGGCTGGAGGAGCCAGGCTTCTGAGGGCCTTGGGAATTCACCCTACAGATTGAAATGGGTCATGTATCCTAGATGATCACATCCTGAAGCATGCTGGGTAGAAGGTGCCTTTTGCCTCTGGTTGGATGGGGGTGAGGGTTGATTAGAGTATCCATGTTGGCAGACCACTTCACCAGACCTCAGGGGGTTGAACGAAATGACTTTCCTGCTTCCAAAGATTGGGTGATTCCATTTCATTCAATGATTTTCTGCAACCTGAGACTCGGTTTCTCCAGAAAACATAGAAGCTAGCCCCACTATTGAAGCCCTTGAGTGAGGGTGACTCAGATGCCACCTGGTATCTTCTGACAACTCTAAGAGCCTGTCCCAAGCTGGGCTGATCTAGGCAAGCTTAGAAAAGGAGAGCACACTCTGGGCATGGTGCCCTGTCCTTGTCCTAAAACCCAAGACCTTGTAGACACTTCTCCCATGAAGCTTCCCCAGCCAAGTCTCCTGTCTAAGTTTGTTGAATTGTGACAGAAGGGGCCAAAGTGTTGACCCAATGACCCAACAGCTGGGTTCTGGGAGGCGTTGCTGCCAAGGAGAAATCACGGCTTGAGAGAGACTAGCTGCCTGTTAGCTTAAGGCCCAGATGAGGGAAGGATTGTTGAAGAATGTAGTCTCACCTTTGCAAGAAGAAGGATGGACTGAAGAGTGTAGTCTTGACTTTGCAAACAGCCCCCAGAGGGGCTCCTACCAATGGCTTTTAGGCCACCAATCAAAGGCTGGGCTAAACCACACAGCCCGTACCAAAGCGTTGCAGCCTCACGTGAGCCACTGCCCAGGTCCCTGCCCTTCGCCGCAAGTTACTGCTGCTTCAGGTTACCCTCATGAGCTTTCCAAACCTGCAGGACCAACCTCTCATTCCTGGTTCTGCCTTAAACATAATTGAATAGGGTCACATAGGCCTTGTTTAGTGATAACAGGACCTAACTGAAGGCGAAGAGAGTTTAAAGCCATACTACCGGGGAGCTCTTGGCATGGCCCACCCTTGGCCCACAGGCTACATGCAACCTAAAACAGAGATGAACTTGACTCGACACAAAATTGTATACCCACTTAAAACAGGATGAGGTATCTCTTTTTGCAATTTTATTTTTACAACTCAGTTGTGCAGTTCTCAAGCGTGAACTTTCTAGATGACATCATGTCACCATGTCACAATGTCACAAGGCTGAATGTGCCTGCTAGAGACTGCCAAGTGGTAGTCTCTGAGAGGAAGCTTGGCCCCACTGAAACATAACATTCTCTGTATACAAACCCTGAAAGAGGGGAAGAACCAGCTGGGAATTTAGAGCCAGGAGCCACTGCTGGGGGTGTGAGGTTGGTCTGAGGCCTGAATGCACTTTCTGTCTCACTGTCCTGGGGGCCTAGATAGGGCCAACCTCCCTGGAGAGTGTGTGGAGTGGCTCAAGGTTGAGCTGGTGGGAGCTAGCCTGCCGCAGGGTGGTCTCTGTGTCTTCTCATTCTTGAGGAACTCATTCAGAGGACAGAGCAAATGATCTCCATGCCTCATCCCCCTGATTATCCCGCGGACACTAATACATCTACCCACACACCTCCAGGAAGGGTCCCCGCTGACCAACTGCGTTGCCGGCTGACATAGCTCGTGCTTTCTCATTTTTGATCAAAGAAAATGGAAGAGGACAGTCTAAGTCAAGTCTAGATTGAAGAGACCATGTCATCCCAGTTCTGACCCAATGGCCCAATCAAGGGTTCTCGTGCACACAGGCAGAGAAGCAAACCCCTGGGCCTTTGTGAGCCTTGTTGGCAAAATGCATAGGTCTATCTGTATGTCTCCCCTGCCTCCCAGCCAGCCCGCCACCCACTCATCCTCTTGAATAGGAAGCACTGTGTCGGGAGTGCTCAGCTGAGGAAGACCCTACAGCCCGAAAGATCACAGGCATTTGCAGGCATGCTTTCTAGCACTCTTGGGGTTTTGTGTGAGGTCTTTCTTGCTGGCAGGTGTCCATGGCTGTGCCGAGTAATGCAAGCCAAATTACCCTAGAGATATCCGAACACCTCAGGTAGGAATGATATTGTTAAGAGCTCAGCAAAACATTTTGAGGGCTTCCCACACACACCAGGGGCTTGCTAATGGCCTTTATCTGATTTATTCCTTATTAGCAATGTCAGAGTTTTCTCTTTTGCTGAGCTTGTGTTTTTGGGTAAATCTTTTTCTATTTGGTTCTCCATTATGATCCCACATCCCTGTCCAGAGAGTGGTGTTTTTAATTTTCTCAGATGGAAAGCAACTTCCTAAGCAAGTGGGTGAATTAATCACCAAAGCCCAGAGTGAGGGGAAAGCCAAGGAGCCCAGACAATCCCCTGTCATCCATCACCTATGGTGGAATTTCCCAGGCTGCTCCAGCATTATCTCATAGTGGTGGTTCCCTTGCCTCATGGGGTCCCTGGGAGAGGAGGGGAAGTGGGATAAATGAGATCATTTGCCTCTGTAAACTATAAATCGCCCCCAAAGACAAAGGAGTATGGGTGTCATTTCGTTCACAGGGACAGCAAGCACAGAAGTCGGACCTTTTTCAGAATTCCCACTGAGCTGTAGGAAGGACTTCTGGGTTTAAACCTATTCAAACACCACCACCCTTTCTCTAATTTCTTCCACCCTGCTGACTGACCCATGGATGACTAGTATCAGAGATGCTGGTTAGTTGAAGCCTGAACCTGAAGGACACTCAGAAAGAGATAGATTAGTGGGCAGATTTGATAATAAGAGCTCAGAATCAAAAAGACATAAATACCAGAAATGGACTAAAGTGTGTGTCCTGTAGAGTCCCTGGTTTTCCCTGCACACAGTATGCCTGTACCCTAACTCTAAAATCATGGCCCAACCCTCAACCCTGACATGCGGGACTGGGAGTCTTGCAAACACAAGCATAGAACAGGGTCCTGTACAAGCCAGGGCACCTGATTTCCTTGCGCGCGGTAGCACTAGCTGGGGGAGTTTCCCTGTGGTTTTGTCTCATTATTTACCGGGAGCCCGTGAGGGCCTTGTGTTTTATGTCTTTGGAGACTGAGCACATAAGACCTGCCTTGGAAATTACTCTTTGTATGTGAAGTCTGGGGGTGGGGGTTGTGTAGGAGTTAAACTCAGCAGCGTCCATCCATTAAGGCGCTCCTTGCAGCTCTTGGTCTTCCTGGGTTGAGTGTGTTGCATTCATAGGAATAAGGATATCGGAGTGGCAAGAACACATTGGGAGTTAGCATGATAGTAAATATCACTTGCTACAGTTGGAATGTTAAGATTTATGTTCAAAAATAGAGCCACTGATTCCTCTAATTTTTACAAAAAAAAATCATTGAGAGCTAGGCACTTAGGCAGTCTGGGAGGAATGCATTGGAATCAGCCACACATTACGCTCTTTGATGGATGTTGGGTATACACCCATAGCAGGACAGACTCATATCTGTGTGGTTCCCATTATGATCCCATAACCCTGTCTAGAAAGTGGTGTTTTTAATTTTCTCAGATAGAAAGCAACTTCCTAAGCAAGCGGGTGAATTAATCACCAAAGCCCAGAGTGGGGGGAGGGGGGATGCTGAGGGGATTTGTCTTATAGTGGTAGAGAGAAATGAAAGAACCAGGCAACAAAACCCCTGTAGGTTGGAGTCTTGCAGCTGGTCAAGTGCTGGAAGAAACTGACCCGTCAATGTTCAACTCAAGTGAGACATCGACATCGGCCCCTCTGAGGCTCAGGGAACACTGACAAAAAAGAAGCAGAAAGAATTGAAAGAGGAGGAGGAAGCTGGGACAATGGTAAACAATGCTGCCTTCTGAGCATGGAATGGCTGTTTGACTCTTAAAGGCACTGTAGCTGTGATTGCCTGCACAAAATCTACACACGGTAGGGCCACACTCCTGTATATGGAGTGAGGAGAGGCTTATAGGGCCCGCCCCTCCCTGAGTTTTATCTAATTGACGGAGTCAATGAGGGAAGGAAAGGCATTTTCCTTAGTGGTCTCTCTACTGATGACCTTCAATACTCCCATAAGCCACCCTGGTGAAATTGACTGGGTCGCTAAACCAGCAGCAAAAAGAAAACATGAAAGTATAAGAGAAGCTAGCCGGGAAGAGTGGGGGACAGTGGGTGCCAGGGGCAAAAGATGAAGGGGGTAATATGATTAAAATATGTTCACATATGAAAATGTCATAATGAAACGTATTACTTCTAATTAAGATATATTGATTATAAACAACCAAGTGGGCTGGAGAGATGGCTCAGTCAGTAATATATTTGCTGCACAAGTATTGGGGACCTGAGTTTGGGTCCCCAGCACCCACATACAGAGTTGAGCACAGCGTTGGGTACCTGTAATTCCAGTGCCAGTGAAATTCCCGGGGCTTTCTAACTTGCTAGTCGAGTCAATTAGCAAGCTTGGGTTCAGTGAAAGAAGTGAAGTAAGTTGGAGAATGTTTGAGGAAAACACCCAGTGTTGACCTCTGACCTCCCCACACACATTCATACACACTCATCCATGCATACACACTCACATTTGCACATGCACGTGCATGCGCACGGATGGCAGGATCCTTGATTTCAGAAAACTGGCATTCTTTGTAGTGGAGCGACGGGCAAGGGATCTGGAGGCGGCAAGTTGAAAAGA